TAAGAGGTCAAAAATACTTTGGTTCAATTAAGAAAATACACTTAACTGCAAAGTTACTAAGAAGAATGGGATGTTACATACTAGTATTGGATAAAGATATGAAACAAGTGTTAGTATTACATTTCTGTATTAGTATACAAGTCATCATGACAAGCATATTATGGTGTCTACTTACCAATTATTATACACAGGTGAATCATAATTGGCATAGCTGCACTAATTTTTGTGCACACTGCACTCTATTCTTAAGTCATCTCCAGAAATTAAGACAAATGTAATATCATCATGACAAGCATATCATGGTGTCTATAATATTACTTACCAAAAGACAGGTGAATCATTGGCATAGCTGCACTAATTTTTGTGCACACTGCACTCTTAGACTATTCTTATGTCATCTCCAGAACTTAAGACAAATGTAATATCATCATGACAAGCATATTATAATAATATTCCTTACCAATAAACAGGTGAATCATTGGCATAGCTGCACAAATTCTTGTGCACACTGCACTGTCATCTCCAGAAATTAAGACAATGTAATATCATAGTCATCATGACGGTGAGTTACTTTATATCAAGTTGAACATATTGGTTTGACAATAATCAAAAGTCATGATCACAAATTTTGTTTTACCACAATTTTTGTGCACACTGCACTCTTAAGGTGCATGTCATCTTCAGAGAATATCTAAGACACTGTCATGCAAAGATGATGCATAGTCATCATGACAGGTGAGTTACATCTACATTGACAATAATCATAAGTCATCACAAATCTTGTTTTTTAAAATTTCAGACTAGTGATGTCACTGACTGAGCTGGTCTATGTACACTCTGAAAATTCATTAAGACACCTTATTTAATGTCAAGTCAGCATGACATATAACTGAAACAATATATTTCTCAACAAGAAAAGCCAAATTTCTTCATATCACAGAGTGATCAGGATTTAAATATCGATGATAGATATCCCAAATCAGAGTAAAATAGATGTTTTCATCATGATAATACAGTTACACAAATGTGCATCTAATTCAAATTTCTTAACTTTGATTTAAGTTTTCTTATCAAGTTGGTGCTCTCCATATTATAAGACTTGGACAGTCTATGTAATAAGCCTAAGACACATGTGGCATTTCACCTTGTTTGTCTCAAGTAAACAAGCGGACCCATGTAGATTGACATGTTTTCCCCTAAGTCAAACCACAGGAGGAGAAACACTTCTAGTACCCACTATGTTTATTGTCTAGGTAACCTAGAGAATAAGCTCTAAAATTTCTCAAATCATCGTGCCTCAAAGCACATGAAATAGCTCATTTGAACCCTGCAAAATAATATCATCATACATGTGTAATGCCTCACAGAAAAAAGTAGGCAGACCTCAGAGAGTTCGATCTAGCCAGCCTGAAATTTATTTCCATTATCTCAATTTTGTTTATTGTATGAAGTAACATCATGTCGAGTGCTGATTTCGGAAATTTTGATTCTCAACCCTCTAGTGAAAATTGCTGTTTCTTGCACTTCGAGGAACAAATTTTGCTGGTATCTGTATCTGTATCTGTATCTTCTGTATCTGTATTAGCCGGTATAACTGCCTTTTGGCGTATTACACACCAGACTAATTTGACAGTGAAAGGACGTCTCTTTCCATATCTTTCCATGTCAAAGATGATGGAGTAAGCAAAATATTTGTCCGTCACGAGCAACAAAATTCCGTCAAATGATGGAAAGATGGATGCTGGCTAGAACACTTAAATATGCAACAACTATACCTCGATGAAGGTTAGACATCCAGGTAATACAATACGCCAAAAAGCAGTTACTCAAGCAACTGGATATGATTTTGGAAACGGTCAGGCGTTTCAGGTAGAATCCACTACCTTTTGTCAACAACTTTATGCAAGAACTACATGTATACTACAAGCTTTCTTGGTCCTCAGAGACAGGGGGCACCAAATGTTATATGAGACAGGAAAATAGTTCTTGAGACAGAACACTGACCCTAGCAGTACAGTCCACCCAGGGACAACACAGGCTGACACTGTCGGCATTTGTCAGTTTGTGGGGGAAAGTGCCAGTCAACATGGGCAGGTTGTTGTGCACACAAGGAAGGCCTTTATCTGTGGCACGAACGTGGTCTACTTGGCAGGTCCAATATCAACTGTCCCAGTTGTCAACCCCGGCCCATACAAAACAGCATATAACGGTGGTCTGGGGAAGCTGGTGAACGTACCACTTAGTATCTAATACCAGCCCAGAAAAGAACAAGAAACAGTCATGCCTTCAAATGTCTGAGTTATCAACCAAGGATTGAAGTGTTCAAAAACTATCGTAGAGTGGAACTTGTTGGGACATGAAGCTAAGTCGGGGCATCATCAGAAGAAAAAGTTTAAACAACTCCAGGAATTTAATGTGCAAAGATTGGGTGTAACAGGTTGTTTGGTGTAATATACTTAGCCTAGTAGGTACGCTGCGTGCCTGCGAATCTGGTGTGTTAGTTCCCACAGGGTGGTTTATACTGATACAAAATTATTTAAATTTCATCTTTCTCTTAATTATAAAGCAATCTTTTGTGCAAATGTATGTGAATAATCATGAGATTATCATTTTCGAAAACTTTTTAAAAGTTCCTAAAAATATATATATTAGTTCAATCAGACAGCTAATATAATTATAATTCATAAAACTATTCATATTTAAAAACCTTCAGTGGCTTGTCATAAAGAATAAAAGTTTTAATTAGTGTTGTAATATGAAAAGCAGAAGTACTCAGTTCACAGTTCAAAAGTGTTTTCACAGAGGAAGACACCACAGATATGCCATCTCTAGGTCAGCCCTGTACTCCTCCAATGGAACATATAGTAGTTTCTACTGATGGTGTCGAAAAAATGCTTCAAGGTCTCAATCCCTCTAAAGCATCCGGACCAGACCAAATACCACCGTGGTTCCTCAAGTTGACAGCTAGTGAAATCGCGCCTGTTCTAACCAATATTTTCCAACACTCGCTAAACACTGCAGAAATCCCTAAAGATTGGAGGGATGCAAATATATGCGCCATCTTTAAAAAAGGAGATAGAGCGGTCCCCAGCAACTACAGACCTGTTTCACTGACCTGCATATCCTGCAAACTACTTGAACATATCATCCATAGCCAAATCATGAAGCACCTAGAAAGTTACAGTATATTAACGGATTACCAGCATGGATTCAGAGCCAAACGATCCACAGAAACACAGCTTATACTAACAGTCCATGACATAGCTGGCGCACTAAACAGTAAACGGCAGGTAGATTTAGCAATACTTGATTTCACTAAAGCCTTTGATAAAGTCCCCCATGGCAGGCTCATCTCAAAACTGGAGTATTATGGAATCCAAGGCCCTACGCTGAATTGGTTAAAGGCTTTCCTGACCAACAGGGAGCAAACAGTAGTGGTTGAAGGGAAGGCGTCGGCTCCAGTTAAAGTAGCGTCTGGGGTCCCTCAAGGAACCGTCCTGGGGCCATTGCTCTTTCTCTTGTATATAAATGACCTACCAGATCAGCTTGACTCAAATGTGAGGTTATTTGCCGATGACTGTCTATTGTATGTAGAGCTTTCTACACAGACCGACTCACAACTTCTCCAAAAAGACCTGAACACCCTGGAAGAATGGCAAAGCAAATGGCTCATGCAGTTTAATCCCGAAAAATGCTACATTATGCACATAACAAACAAACGAACACCACATGCAACTAGCTACCAGTTTTGTGGTCAGGCTTTAGCAACCACAAAAATCCATCCGTATCTGGGCGTCACGCTGAAAAGCGGACTGAAGTGGGGTGCACATGTTAATAATATCACAACTAAGGCGAAACAGACATTGGGAGTGATTAAACGTAATCTGTGGGCATGTCCAACGAGAGTAAAATCACTTGCATACACGTCACTTGTAAGACCGAACCTAGAATACGCTACGACAGTATGGGATCCATATACATGTACAAAGAAAGACAAAGACAAATTGGAAAGGGTACAGAATCAAGCTGCAAGATTCTGTATGAACAACTATGTAAGAGGTGCTAGTGTCACGGAAATGAAAAGAAACCTACAGTGGACCTCACTTGACGACAGAAGAAAGATGTCTAGACTATGCATGATGTACAAAATGACTAATAAACTGGTGGACGTCCCAACTACTAAGTACCTAATACCAGCCCAGAAGAGAACAAGAAATAGCCACGCATTCAAGTACCAGAGTTATCAACCAAGGATTGAGGTGTTCAAGAATTCATTCTTTCCTAGAACTATCGCAGAGTGGAACTCACTGTCACCAAGTACAGTAGGGGCACTGTCAATAGATAGCTTTAAACAATGTCTAGAGCTAGAAGTTCAAGGGTTAGGTGTAACAAGTCGATCGGTGTAATATAGCCAGCTGCCGCCGCGCCGCGTGCCTGCGAAGCTGGTGTGTTACGCCGAAAGGCGGTTATACCGGCTATACAGATACAGATACAGATACAGAAATATTGTTTGTCACCAACCTTTTTCTTGGAAAACTGTTATTATTATATATAATAATATTATCGATCATTTCTACTCAGTGCTAACCAGATGAAACAAAAAATCTGAGTCTTAACCTCCTGAAGTATATACACAACAACTGCTGACAATTTCAAAGAACAAATTTTCAAATTTAATAAAAATGTTTACTTACCAGTAATGCTTAGCAATTATCATACACAATACAGGCTTGACCCCCCCCCCCCTTCTGAAAGTAGTGTGGTATAGTCAACCATTATACATGTAGTTACCCAATAAGTAACCTGGCATACCGGAAATTAAAGAAATCCTTCAAACCTACTGTACATGTACAGGTACATTGTTTGTATACTTGTATGAGTTATAGCAACAAACACACAAACACAACCTAAAAGAGTACATTCCAACAGAATAATACCTCCTTCCACTGAGATAAAAAGTGATCAGCATATCCAAACAAGTCAATCTGAAAAACACTTACCTCATCACAACCGTAACACCTGGGGTGTAAGGACTCTCCGTAGTGCCTGCCACAGTAGATGGCGCTGCCTCGGTAGAAGTACAGCAGGTCCACCAGGAGGATCTGACAGGTACTGCAGCAGAAACAGCCGGGGTGCCAGCAGACCTCTGGACCTGTGTGGGAAGTGGTGACCGCTATGCCTCCCTCCGGGATTGTGCCCTCACATTTGTAACATTTCTGTTACAGGGAAGAAAAACCACATCATTACTGCAGTGCTATACATAATAACAATAATAATTCAACTCATAACTGATCATAATAATAACTGATCATAATAATAACAATAATCATATTAATAACAATGATAATCATAATGATCACAAATAGATAAATAGATTTAAAGACAAAAAAATACCAAAACTCATGATTAGCCCCACAATCACAATCAATGTTTTATTTATTATCATAATGATTATTGCTATGAGTAATTATTATTATTATTTTATTTTACGTTGCTGGACTGCAGGAAGAATAGTATGGGATTTACCATACTGATGGGGATCTCAATAAACAAACAAATAAGCAAACTTGATTGTAACACTATATCAAAGATTTATGCTAGCCATTATTGTTTTTATTCTATACCTCAGAGTACATGTACAATGTTCATAATTATATTGTTGTCTCCATACAGTGTACCAAAATATTTACAATGTACAATTGTCATGCAACACTTTAAGTTCTATCTATTTTACCTCATCTTTGTCAACACAACTTGGATGGATAGCTGGAATCTATATATATATTTATTATCCTGGTTCTGAAATCTTGATAAACTGGATATAGGAGACAACTTATATCATATCTGCATCTTGATAACAGGGTTCAGTATGCCATAAGCTAAATATAGAACTTAATCATGACATTCCTTTTGCATGATGTAAAAGATAACGTTTATCTTAGTCTGTGACGTTCCATATTTGGCATCCACACAAGGGAATGGAAATGAACTCCACTGATGCCCCTGTCACACATTCACATATTTGGCCTCCCGAACACTAGCCAAACACCCCCAACTGTTATTTTTAAGTAATTCATGTGTAATGATATGAATTTTAATGAATAACTTATCAATTTTAATTTGTAATGCCAAAAATGTTAAGAAATCAAATTGTACAGCAAGACACAATTTAGCCAATGGCTACAAGTTCTTGTTTGTTTTCACAAATAAACCATTTGATTGGTTGATTGATTGATTGATTGATTGATTGATTAATTGATTGATTGAAATATGGTCAGCAGTAGGTTGGCACAAAATCTGCTGGTGTTTGGGCAAAATTGATTACTATTCTGCTGTGCCAGCCTATAGGGCCATAACAATTTAACTTGTTGTTCTCAGATTTTTTCTGAAAAAATATGAAGCGACAGGGCGAAATAAAAATGAAAAAAAAAAACAGGCCAAGGCACCCCATGAAGGCTGAAATGTTAAGATGAGCCATGAAGTGAACATACCAGGCTGGTTTATAATTATAACAATAGATTTTGAACTTTTGATAAAACGAAGTTGCACTGTTACATTGAAAAACTTTAACAACTAGGAAGAAAGGGACTTTCTTCAACTGTTCAGGCCAAAATATGTCTTTCATTGTCAATGAGCATTTTGCAGTTGTTTCAGAACCTATGATTTTTTTTTTTGCGAATCAGACAAAAAATGGACAAGGCGAATCCGAGAAACAAGAAATTAAATTGGTGTGGCCTAATGTTTCAAAATGTTTAAAACATTTGTGGGTTAGTCAGAAAGTTTGATGATCATACACTGGTGTTTGGTTGTAAGTCAGCAGAACACCAGTCAACCATTCAGGAGTAACTCAGCTGTGTTCTTGGCATGTGCAGGGATCAAAATTGACTCAAATTTATCTCAAATTCATTTCAATCCATATAGAAAGATGATTATAAGCGTGGCCAAAATCTGGTCAGATTGCTACCAAACATCAATGGAAATGAACTCCACTGAAGACAATTCGGCAGTAGTGTTATAGTATCTAGCTAAATCCTACATAATAATAACTGCATACTGTGTACAGATTTTAATTGTATAATCGTTTTCGAATATGTAGTGTGTTTGCCTATATTTCATGTGTACAATGAAGAGTGTCACAAATCATTGTTTTTAATGCTCTTTGTACTTAAATATGTAATAAATAAGGATGAAACTCGGGTATTTGCCCGCGAGAGCCTTACCGAATAAAATGTGAATTTTGAATTTGACCAGACAAAATCTGTTCAGAAACAAATTTGGGAGGAGGCCATGAATGTGTAACAGGGGCTTGACCTATAGTAAGCGTGTATACTCAAAAGGAAATTGATGACGAACTTACCATGTCTCGTTCAATACTCTCTCTGACTGTTCCCATGCCGTAGGACTGGTAATCTCTCTTCTGTCGGAATAACTTGAAGTCTCTCCTCTCTGCATCTGTCAGCTCACTGCCACAAAAGTCTTCATCAAAATCCTGCCAACAGACACAAAGCTCTGATAAGCACACAATGTGTGTAATACAATGTGTACTTGTACATTCATTGCAATGATATCAGCTATGGTATCAGTACCTTTGTCCAAAATATATACTGATATAATGTATACTGTAAAATCACAATTGTTTCATGGTACTTTTACATTCAGTTTTTCACTTCTGTACCCAAAACTTACAACGTATCTGTGAACTAATAATTTGCAGACTTTCTTTTTTCTGCACCTGCCGCCACCACAAACATATAGTTCATGAACAAGTCCATTTTTCTCAGACGGCGAACTTCTGCTACTGTAAACATAAAGTGATTTTCAGTATTGTAAACGTAGCTCAAATAGTTTGCAAGGCTTCAACAGATGTCATTTGATTTGCCAAGGGTAGCATTTGTCTTTATTTTGATAATACAAGTGTGTACAAAATTAGGCCATGTTGATTTGATTATATGGATGACATCCTCTGGGAAGTCCAAAACTGATGCGAGCGTGCGAATAAAAAAAAGTTTAGCAAAAAAAAAAAAGTTGCTTTCATGATGAAATCCACGTGGTCATGAAGGTTGAACAAATGACACAAAGTATGGCGAATCCACTCTTCAAATTCATTTCTTTATATTTTGTCTTTTTCGTTTGATTTTGGCATTCTACGACAATGGCTTCGTTTTCAATTATTTATTTTGCAACTTACGGTAAATATTTGCTCATTTTGCAACAGTTTTGTACGATTTACAGTTTGGTTGAAAACTTTTTTTTTTGGAAACGGCCGAAAATTCATGCGCGTGCGGATGTCATCCATATAATCAAATCAACATGGCCTTAAAGACAACAAACCTTGACTTTGATAATAGCATGGAAGTCAAGAAACTAAAGCAGTTTCAGTCTGTTTCTTTGCCTAAAAATGTCTTATTGTGCCTTTTTTAAAAAAAAAATCATGTATCATGTGAACTACAATCATGGCACCTTGCACCAACCAACGTCTTGGTTTATTTTACATGTATAGAAGAGACCTCTAGCACCTGAAGTGGTAACTGCAGGACCAGGTTGCGTTGCCTGGCTCTCTCTCCAGACGTGCCTATTCTGGGGACCCTGTCATCAGGAAGTGCATTCATGTACTCTTCAAGCTGGAAAAACACAGACAGATCACCATGTATAAAGGGGCACAAAGAAACTTCCTTTTTTTCTACATTTTCACCTTGACCTATGGCCTAGTGTTAAGACTGTGATTCCTAAACTACATGTAAACAAAATATAAGAGTTACTGGTAACATGTATAGACAAAGAAAAAATCACTGTGGCAATGGATACTAACTTCAATATTAATTTATTATCCTTTTGCCTACTTTTTTCAAACCCAAAAAGATATTGACATCAAAATGATGGCATTTTAGCACCAAGGAGATTACCAGTAAAATTGTAGGCATTGAAACATTTCTCAAGTTCTCTTCACGATATAGTATAGTGGTTCCTGAATGTTTTATCAGAAATACTTTATTCACTAGTAACTTAAGGTAACAATGACGAGGAAGAAACCCAGAATTCATGTTTTGGAAAGGATGTGGACAGTAAGCTAAACAGTTCCATACAATGGGAGTTGGAAATCCAAGGAAAATGAAGACAGTAGATCTACAAAAAGTAAAATCACAACATTTTGCAACAGTAACAGGTATGGTTAGTACTAAGGCCATACCAATTTAATTTCTTGGTTAACGGATTTTTCTAGAAAAATAATGGAGCGGGCGGGCAGAAAAAAAATAAAAATAAAAACAGGCCTAGGCATCCTACTATGGCCCAAAATGGTACGATAGGAGCCATGAAGTCAACACACCAGGCTTGTTCAAAATTTAAACAATGAATTTTGAACTTTTAATGATACCATTGCATTGAAAGATGGAATAACTGTGACAACTAGGAAGAAAAGGACTGTTTTCAACTGTTCAGGGCAAAATATGAGCATTCTGCAGTTGATTCTGAATTTTTATTTTTATTTTCAAATCAGAAAAAAATGAAGCGCGCGAATCTGTTGACCAAGAAATTAAATTAGTGTGGCCTAAGTGTGTCATGTTTTTACCTTGTCCACAGAGGAAATCCCAGGAGGTACCCAGGCATACCCCTTTGCAGCAGGCGTGTCTTGACTGATCTGTAACTTCCCAAACAGTGTGGTAACATCCCTGCTGTACACATCATGGTCCTCTCTTCTACACTTACACTGGGTACAACAGTTCCTATAACACAAAGCATAACACAGTTAGGCCAATAAAAGATACAAAAACCGGAAGTTCTGCTGCAGTACCAAGGTCATCCACCAGGAGGCCCATATTTGACCTTGACGTTTGTCTTCCTAAGACTTACCAACAAACCAAATATCATCATAATCCATAAAGGTGTTCTGAAGTTATGCTGACCACAAAGTTGCGGAAACACACACAGACAGACAGACAGACACACAGACATACATACATACAGACAGACACACCAAAAACAATACCTCCATTTTCATGGAGGTAAAAAATGACGTTGTGCTGTTTCCTGATCCTAGCCTTTTTTGTGTAGACCCCTGCAAGGGACATGCAGCAAGCTGATTGACCTTTTCTAGCTCCATGATCTGGCACCTGAGTTTTCCAGCATGTTATAGCTGTATCGCCAATTTAAAAAGAGATTAAAAGAATCCCTACCTACAGTATACTGACCCTCCTTTTTTCAGGACTGAAATAGGAAACATAGTCAACATTTTTTTTCCTAGGCCCTATCAGTTTGAATACTTTTTGGATGGAAGGAACAGGTAGGGTGTAAACTTTCCTACTTTGGTCAAATTTGTTCATTTCACTAGTTTTTAAAATAGTGGGAATAATGAAAGATCTGGTAGTTTAACCAGAGCGGATAGACACATTGTACATGGGAATTGGGGTCATTTAAAAAGTCAGCTGAAATTTGAAATGGTCAACCCTGTCTTATACAGTTTCTTGGCTCCAAAAAAGAAAACAACAACCCGTGGCATGCTTCTTGCTATATAATACGAGATCCAGGAAATGATCATCATAAATTCTAGCACGATAATGATGAGAGATTGGCAACCCTGAAGTGCCTTAGACTACATTTAATACACAGAGATTGGAGTAAGCCACAGTTATGTAATCAGTACTTGGGGGGTTTTTAGTGGGCTATAAATGTCGGGTCAGGGTCAGGTCAACTTGTGATGAAGAAACAACAGTTTTTTTCTTGATGAGTTTAATCTTGTACATGTACATGACTGCTTTACAGTACAGTATTTAAAAAGAGCACAGAAAAATATCTGACATCATATTTATCATATGATTCATACCTCCACTCATGAAGCTCAAGTCCAGGGCAGTAGTCTCCACACTTTAAACACCCAGCACCATTGTCCTGTATGAATTAAAAAATATGGATTAGATCAATATGCATATTATGTATCAAAGGACACTTTGGGTGTCTGAGTAAATTCAAGATTCTTGTCCTTGATGTGACCTGCAATATGGATTGTGCATATCAATTATAATACTAACAGACAGTGAATAGGTAACTGCTATAAGGAGGTTTAATACTGAATTGAACCTCGTTGTACTGCTAAACCTTTTATAATTTTTATGATACAATTATTAATAATATTAAACTTTTAGCAACTAACAGTGATATGCATTTTGAAGTTGACTCACAACCTTATTTAAACCTTTTTTAATAAATAAATTTAAAAAAAAAACACTCACGGGCAAAGCCGAGAACCAATTGATCAAATTAGTGTGGCCTTTAACAGTATATTCTGATTTTCAAAATGCAAACCTGGAATAAAGTCATTACTGGTGTGTAAGTATGTACTACCATACACAGTGAAAACAGCACTGCCTGTTTTTCAAGAGCAAATTATATTGACAGAGGAATACAGCCCTGATAAGCTTTCTAGTTCTTGGTAAACATGAGAGTTAAGCAAATATGTTGTTCTGGACAATAACAGTGAATTCTGTTGACCAAAGGCACTAATTGCATCAACATAAACTATAAAGGGGGCCCGCAAGCCCTTTTCCGTATAGCGTAATCGGCCGTTTTAATTCTACGTAGAGCGTAGATGGACCGCTCTTATTTTTGCGTCGAGTGTATTCAGCGTTTTAATTCTACGTAATGCGTTGTAGCCACTTGGAATTTATCGTAAAGCATAATCGAGAGGTTTCCGAATTCAGCGTAGAGCGTTGTTCCTTGCAGGCCCTCTATAAAGTATTAAATGAGTCAAAGAGTCATCTATCCAGGTCATGGGGCTTGTGCTGTAACTGTAACGTTATAATATCTAATAAGTATGAAAGAATTGCTGATTGAAAAAGAATATTTTGCTCCAGGTTGGTCCCTTTGTGTTTAACAATGTACAAAGGTTTGTAAGTTTGTAAAAAAAAAAAAAACAACGAACAAGCAAATTCTGATTATGTGCTAAAAATGAAAAAAAAAACTGAATACACAATAATGAATGATAAATGCATTCAATAAATGTGAAATAATGCAGAATGGAAATACTGCATTTATTGAATGCAGATTCAGAGTGCATATATTGAATGTAAAGAACATTTATTGAATGCAAATTACATTTATTGAATGGTAGAATTTTTCATCAAATGGTAGAATTTCAGCTTTTAGTTGAGAACATGTTTTCAGTAACTGTCACGTAAGGTCTGCCAATATTGACCAACCATTTAATATTGTCTACAATCAACAGTAAAGTTCACTGTAACATGCAGTGTTCATTCAACTGACTCGTGTACACAAGTGCATAAGGGTACCTTTGGGAGACTGGTACATAGAAAAAAAGCAAGGAAGGTTCAGTATTTAGATTTTAGGCCACACCAATTTAATTTGTTGGTTCTTGGATTCGTCTCTTCATGTTTTTCTGATTTGCAAAAAAAAAAGAAATTCTGGTTCTTGAATCAGCTCAAAAAT